GCAATTAGGATTAATTTATAATCTAATCTACTGGGGACTGTCACGTCGGAGGTTCTGATGGATTTCCTCATTTTGTATGGCTGTGGCACTGTCATTAGACAAAGTTTTAGACGTACTCTTCACGTACCATATTTCTTTACTTAAATCGTTGTTATTTACGAGTAAGCCATATATTTATGATAAATAACTGTAATGTCACAAATCCATTTGGTTTTTACACTACTCCAGTTTAAGTTCATAAGCAGTATTTGAGGTTTTCACAGCTGTGAATATTGCTGTCTTCTGGGTTATTACGCGATTCGTCGTCCTGATGACGGAAATAGTATGACCTCCGAAACGTTGGTGGTGTATCTACCAGACTACACGTCGCAACAACCCAGAAGACAGAAATCTTAAGTTGATAAGTTCTTTGATTTAGTTGTAATGACATAGAGAAGCAAGCCATTCATCGTAAAGGTATAATTACCGAAGTACAGACCAGGTCTAATGTTGCCTAACGTTCATAGTGAGGGCAAATAATAATTTTCTTTTTTCCCCATTTATAATTAAAATATTTTATAGAAGATTAGGGTATCAGTGGAAAAGTTGATAAAATCACTTTTTTAAATATTGAGCCAGCGTCATCTGTCACATGCGTTTGGTCCCGGAATTAAGCTGTGTGGTAGAATTATGAATCCTAACCTAAGGAACTTGGTCTGAATAAAACAAATGAGTCGATATCATCGCACAGCACGAAGTTTCCACCTTAGCAGGAAGTAAGTTAATATTCTCAAGGCCACAAGAATAATTGACAGTGCAATGACATCTTTCCAAAATTGATCCCCTGTCATGGCTATCTCATGCAGAAACGTGTCTGGGAACTTGTAGTGACAGTAGAGTTCCACGCAGTCCAAGATCTCTCGCCCATATCCATAAATGGCACTTATATATCCTTCCAGCCCATATCGAAGGTAGCTGATATGCGTGCCCCATTTGAGGTAACTAGGCATGTCCTGGAGATTTACTCCAAATCCAGCAAACATCATTACTGGTACTGAAATGGTCGGACCCAGGAACGTGCCATTCTGAAAGACAGATGTATCAGAAGTTACTGTAATGTGCATTAAAACATTCCGTGTAACATGAGAGGAGATTCATTTAACTGGGGCTACTGGGAACGACCCGTTCTTCAAGTGCCTGAGCACTGCGGGCCCCAACTTTTTCGTTGGCTCGATCTGTAGACATTCGGTAGGACTCCTTGGATGAGGGATCGGCCCGTCGCAAGGCCTCTACCTGTACACAGGACGGCACAACACAGAAAAACGCGGACAAACATCCATGGCTTGAGTGGGATTCGAACCCACGGTCCCAGAGACCAAGAGGCACAAGGCCCACGCCTCAGACCGCGCGGTCACTGTGGACCTCGTGATTCATTTAAATATTTAAGAATAAAATAGTGCATCCTCTTGAAAAATATGAGTCTGTTAATGTTATTTCAGGAAATAATTGTTCTTTATGCTGGGAATTCTAAACTGTGCGGATAAAATACAAAAATATTTAAATTTAAAGTAAGTGGTACATAAGGAGTAATTGTGTCTTATATTCTTTGGTTTATAACTTGATTAATATAGTGCTTTTATGTATTATACATAAGCTGCAAGTATCAGACACAAATGTCTGCGTTCATTGAAAGTGCTTCGACATGCTGCCTGAATGAAATTTCATTGTCAGTAAAACGAAAATCCCAACTTGTTTCTGTTATTCAGCCAATGTAATCACAGTCTTCTGAGTAGCAGCTTTCTGTGAGGTTTTTCTTAGAAACTCTTAATATATTTCTCATTCCACATCTTTGGCCCATCTGATGAACCGTACAAATCAAAGAACAGTTAACTCGTGATTTTCCAGTTGGTAATTTTCTCAGTTTTACACTTCATCTATTTCTAATTGTACCTGCATCAGCACATTACAGTCTCGCCTACAAATGTTGTTAGATACAGTATATATATATATATATATATTGAAATATTATTACAGAAATTTTGCATGAATTGGAATACTAAAATATATAATCCTTTGGGAGATTCAGTTTGTTATCCTAGTAACGTGGGTTGTGGTCTCGTAGGTGGTTACATGTGATTAGGAGTAACGTGTTAACCTGCGTCTCACCAAGAAGACCACAGTAGACACCTTCAGCGCCATGAGAACTTTAGATCTCAGACGCTTTGTTTCTATTCCCACTAGGAGTAAGATTTTTTTTTCTCAAACTACCTCCGCCAGACTATGAGCTGGGATAGCTCAGTCAGTATAGTGACTAGCTACGGGCTGGACGACCGGGGTTCGATCCCCGACGGGAGCAGAGGATTTTTCCTCTAGCCTCTGCGTCCAGACCGGCTCTGGGGCCCACCCAGCCTCCTCTACAATGGGTACCGGGGTCCTTTCCCGGGGGTAAAGCCGGCCGGGACGTGATGCTGACCACTCACCCCCATCTAGTGCCGAGGTCAAGGAAGAGAGGAGCTATACCTCCACTCACCCCAAAACGCCTACATGGCGCATAGTGGGACAAACTTTACTTTTTTACCTCCGCCAGACTGGTTCCAGTCCTGACGCAGCCTCCCGCTAAATTAATATAGGTGTTCGGATTGTGAACCTGGCCACTTACGTTCGCCTACTGCTGAGCTTAAGAAAGCAAGGAATTTTTATTTTTACTGACTCGTCTTCACTTATACTTACCACAACATTAAATAAAGCACCAATCAGCAATCCAAAGCTCATTGCCACATATACTATATAGAGGCTTATGACAAAGAACATGTTGAACCGGGTCATGTCTGTTGGCTGTCCACTTATGAGGTATACAAGGATGACAAACAGGAAACAACTCACAACCTGTCAATGTAAAAATTCAAAAATTAATTCATTGTAATGACGTGTGAAGTATTTATCGTGTAACATATCGAAATGATATAAAGAACACTCATGCGGCAGTTACCACAATTATGTGTATGTCAACATTCGACGTTTTAATCTTTACAAAGATTTATTTAAAGTTCGCCCTCTTCTGACGCGTGGAATCATGTAATGACTTCGTGATCGTCCAGATCTAAGAAAATAATATCAGTGAATATTTGAAGGATGATGAAATATGATCTTCATAAATTTTGATATTGTCAGGGAACTTTTTTTATATTTTACAAATATGTTTACACAACCTTTCTAAAAAAATCCATAATCAGGATCACTAAATTCTTGGACTATGTCCATCGTCTGTGTTAAAATAATACTACGTTTCGGAAGCTGGATGTGCTTCCGTCCTCAGGTTAAAAAGTGGGGAGTGCCACCTATTCAGTTGGATCTCGTAGAAAGAACAGTGATTGTGGTTAGCCCATCCCTACTTTTTAACCTGAGGACGGAAGCAGATCCAGCTTCCGAAACGTAGTATTATTTTAACACAGACTATGGACATAATCCAAGAATTTAGTGATCCCGATTGTAGCACCCTTTAAAATAAACAGCTAGAATGAATAAATTGGAAAGGCCTTCTGATGGTAAATAGGTGTCCCAACTGTACTCTTTAAACTAAGATTTTATAGGTGTTTATCTTGCCATGCGTCCTACATGCGGTGCCCATCTGATCTTCGTTTGTATGATAACTTTTGTAATAGGTTTAGAGCGTGTGGATTTTGTAATGAAAATATTCCTCTCTTTCGAGAGAGTAGTCTTAACATATCGCGTCGTTTCGAAACAAACTCCCTTAATTACACGAGATACATTGTTTGGTCGAGAACGACTTCACTTACCGTTACAGGTATGTCTACTATCGTGATGGATATGTAATAGGACTTCAGTGAGTACCATCTGTTGAAGTGTTCCTTCTGCAGAACTGACATCTCTGACGGAACTGAAATCAAATAAATACGTCTCAGCTTCTGTATCGTCTGTTCAAAGAGAAGGATACTCAAGAAATTTCTTGCATTTCATGGGAACCTGAAGGTTCATTTCCGTATTCTCAAAAGGCCGTCACATGTTCGTATCTTCAACCAGATGAATGAAATCTGCACCTTATTTATCTTAGATCTGTTTTATTTTTAGCCTCTCACTAATCTCCTAGTTCCTCCTTGTAACAAATTACTGTGCCTTAACCTCAGTAGGATTTATTTTTTTAATGGTTGGTAATGGTTAAAACGAAAGTGCGGATACTTGGATGAGATTTTTCCCGCTTTAATGGTGAAAAAAAAAATTCTCCTTATTTCTGTTGCTTTGTGCAAGATTTTGCGTCCGGATAGACGGGCGTCAGTCTGTTATTTACTTACATGTAAGGATGGTAATCATCATGGGAGTCATCATGTTGTGTATGAGGCACGCGAACAACAGGTTGTAGTTGTCTAGAACGCGGGACCCTTCGTTGCCCTCCCCGTAGAAGAGGGCTCCGAGCATTAGTGCCACTACGATGTTCACCACGATCCGAAGGCGTGTTAGCGTCTGGACAGAAAAAGGACACAGTTTAAATGATATTAAAGAATTCAGTCCGTACCGCGAAGAAAACACAACTCTTCACCATTACAGAGATTAACTGGTTTAAGGAAATAATATCTGTTTACAGCGAGAATCATACGAAACCCATAAATACAAAATGAAGTTATTATTATTATTATTTAGTGTTCTGTCTGAGGACAGGTCCATATGAACAGGATCCTTCCATCCTTTTCTCGGACTGGGACCTGTTCATATACGTTCTTGGCAGATGATCCAGAAGTGGTTTGCCATTGCCTTCTTCTGTGTGTGAATGGAGTAATTGTTGGGATGCCACGGAGGAAAACTCCGTGTTGCCTAGACCACGGCCTTGCCCAACACAAGTTATAAATTCGGGCACCGCCGGGAATCGAACCCGAGACCCCAGGATTACAAGGCCAGCGTTCTAACCGCTAGACCACCAGTTACTGGTTGTTAAATCAGGTGGGACACATAATTACCATTCAGCTTTAAAAGGTTAGTTGGTGACTTAACTGTATTTTGCGAAACCCTGGGATTCTTATCTGAGGAGCCCTTTGTCCCTTCGTGTTTTTATTTTGTAAAATGGTGCCAAATTAATTTTCCATTCCTATGCATGTCGGATAACTGTCGTTATATCATAAATTATAAATAGTCATTTCGTTCCACTTACATCCGACATTTTCGAATCCAGTGCTCTGTGAACCAAACCCCACTTTGGCAAAACTTCGCAGTTTGTAGCAATTAATACTTGTTTTATCTTTTTATCGAAGACATTGCCCTGATAAGTCAGAGTAGTTCTCTGTGTTATCTTGCTTGATTCAACGGCTTCAGTGGCGTGCCATGTGCTTAATATTGGAGAATGTCTGTTAATTTTTTCCGTAGTGGACATTTTTCATTTAAAATAAGTCTTACTTTTCTGCACGTACGGTGAAAGATTTGTAAGGAACTGGAACTTGGAGATGTAATGCTTAACACTGCTGTCTCATGGTTTGGAAGACCGTGGTTTGATTCTTAATCCGGAGACATATTATTTGTAATTTCGGAATGTTAATTAAAGATTGCCCGCTTCCTTCCTAGCCCATGATTGACGTTCATCATTATACCCAATGATTTATAACTGTAACCCTTAGAAGCAGAAAACCACGAGGTAATTAATAATTCAGTCCGTACCGCGAAGAAAACAACTCTTCACCAAAGATCAACTGGTTAACGCTGTTTAAAGGAATAATAACTTTTTATACTAAAAACCACACGAAACAAATAAATACAAAATTGCTGAGTGTTAAATGAAGTGGTACATATAGTTACCACTGAGATTTGAAAGATAAAATTTGATATTTAAGGAAACCTGCAAGTATTTGGATAATAATCTATTTTAATATTAACAGAAGTCGATAATCCATGCTTGCGGATGGACGCAAACACCGACCAAATTTAACTGATATACGTTATCATTTTCGAAATATTAAAAACGATGATTTAAAGCTGTTTTATTCTGTATTTTTGAAAATAATTGTTTTTGTAAAGAATGTCCATTCGTTACGCGTTAACATAAAGTAGCTCTCGCACGTGTTGGCTCTCGAGTAAGTCATGAAGGTTCTAGGCTAGACGAGTGGCGGGTAAGGGGATTTATATACCAAAATGTAAGCATATTTTTTTTAAACAAAGTTATCTGCGATTGACCTAACGCTTTTGTGACATACGAGGTCTAATGATGCAAACCATAATCTCTGAATTAACCGGTTAACTCAGCAAACTGTGAGTCCGACATCAATGCGGGAAACTTGTATACTCTGCGGTTTTCATTTGTTGTTACATCTGATCTACTTTCCGTTCTGAGGGAAGGCTTTTCGCATGGGTACAGCGAAAATCATTTCCATCCTCTTTCTTCCAAAAGGGGCGTCGTAGGAAAAGGTGGACATGAGAAATTATTCATCTTCTCTATTCCCAAAATTTGTCCCAGGAGTTGAAAAAAATTTATCTTCTTAATAAATATTAAATACATTTTCTCACGTTATGAAGATTTTAATTTTAAGTCGTTGGTAACTTAATGATTTATATTATAAAAACATATTTTTCATGTCCCGATAAGTTTCAGCGGGTATTATTATTCCTACAATTATTTATTTCAATCCGTCTTATCACAATATTTAAAATTTCTTATAATTAAGATAATAAAATATCATTGATGTTCCATATCGATTGATCGATTTACATTTTGGAACATCTTTTACACAACATGTT